TATACAAGTGATGGATTAGTCTTCTAATCATCGTCATTCCTTCATTTTGTAATAATCAGATCTTAGCTCTCGTAAAATGAAACTAGTTCTCGACACGACAAATTCTATATTTTTTGCGCTTTTTATATATATTTCGGTCTATCAGGTAGAGCCCATCGGATTCATGATTTTTGGACCCGAACACGGAGCCGATGATAAAAATTTATTCAAACCCGGACCCGCTCAAACAAAATTCTCGGATCCGAACCCAATAATTAATTCTTTGTGATTCGTGCCCGAATTACTCATTTGAGATCTATAATGCAAAATTCTAGTTCGATTTGATAATCGATCCAAAGACAGCATATTCTTTTTTTTCATTTTTTATGTTCGATAAGTAACATATTCTACATATTCTTTAAGTCATCCGATAGTCCGATAGCGATTCTATAATAATTAAATCAAATTCGTTCGTATTAGTTTCTGTCGAAGAATACAAATGTATTTAAAAAAGTTTCATTATTTCTTTTGTATAACAACTATTTTATATTATAGTAGTCGTTCTCTTTCTTTTACTTAATAAAATATGTATACAAAAATCTAAAAACAGATCATGAGTTTATTATTGCTAAACATTTTTTGGATAAAAAGAACAGAAATAAACGAAAATAAAAATAATGCAATTATTTTTTATAGTGAATTTTTTGCTGGCTAATAAAAATTTATAGGCCCGGACCCGATGAATTCAGAATTTTCAGACCCGGACCCGATGGACTCTACTATCAGGTCAAAATTTGGTAGAATATTTCTATCTTACTCTTGAGATTTTTACATATTTGGAATCAGCGCGATGGGTGGATCCCGACAGTTTTTGGACTCACTGACTCCGCCGGAGGTTTTCATTAGCCTGAGGTACAGTACATTATATGCTGCATAAACATCAAACACGTTTCGTTTACTTTTGTTTTCTTTCATCGTGTTTTTCTTCCGTCTCATATGGTGTTCTTATGTGCTCGTAGAGCCAGAGAGGAGAAAGTGATTTCTACAAACAGTAAAATTTGTTGAAAGCTTGTGCGATAGAGAGTCAATCGTTCCCATATGACAAATTATAATATACTATACATGTCTTTTTGCACTACTGTGAGAAATTCTTGATTGTCGGGACGTCGACCACTTACACATGTAAGTACTCATACTTTTGTTTATGACGATGGTAGGTAGCGTTTCAAAATATATTCCGACCTGTCGGTCGCTGTTCCTCTATTCCGCGACTATTCCTGTATTCCGCTGTTACACAACATTTTATTTTATAATAATCTTTATATAAATGTATACATTTGGTTGTATACATCTTGGTTACATCTTTTTTTCTTCATTCGTTCATCTTCACATATGTAGCGAGTGATCACAGAATGACCCACGCTAACAAGATGTTAAGATAAAAAAATTCACTTCTCATATCGTTACAGCCGAATGTCCCTTCCAAGGGACAGTGAATCCACAGCGCTTTTACGCAAAGAAGAATGCTACAAAAATGTCTGCTTTGATTTCATTATAAAGTATATCCATACAACCAAAACTACCAACTCCAAAATTAGAAAATGATTTAGTGGCTACAAGTATAGAAAATATCTAAAACCAAAAATTTCATTTTTGAACTTCATTCAGTTTTAAAATTCAAAAATATCGGATTAAAATGGAAATGTTTTTTTCTTATTTCAATCAAAAGTTAGGCTACTCTATTGTCCATTCTCCCGTTCTCTTTTATGTTTCATTTTTCTTTCCTTTGATGTTTTTTTCTTTCTATGCACACTAAAAAGAGACAGATATAAAGCAAGAAATGGAGGAACCGCAGGAAATCAAGGTCTCGCTTCACTCCCATTTTGAAGAGAACACCCCGGGTTACCAGTCCATGAGAAAAAAATCAATATATTCCTATGTGGATTTCGGAAAACCCAAGTTAGTAGTCTGTTCAAAACAACCTGACAGCTTTGGGGCATTTGATCGAAATGTGTCGTGGTCGTTAATTCGTACTCACTCTCACACCCTCAGTTAGCCACCACCACCATCATCGCCAAAGTGAACAAGAAGAAAACGTTCAGGTTCTTCAGCCTATATATAAATCATCAATTCATATATTGACAAAATCCATATACAGACTTACCTTTGATCTCTCAAAACTCGACCACCATTAGTAAATTTGAGCGGTTGAAAAATCACTCGAAGTGGAGTCAAAGTACAAACGGCAACCTTCAGTCGTTGACTCTCGTCAATTGACATTATCTGTTCAATCAACTAAAAAACGTAGATAGCTTTTCTGTTTTGTGATGTAATGTCAGTCTTGAAAATACGTGCTGTCTACTCCCGTTCCACCATCTCGATACTACTTGTATCACTCTCTGTCTATATCACATGTGTCTCTATCTACAACATCTTCTCTCTATAACTCATCACAGAGTATACTAGCTTTGGCCACTGATCAAGAATATAAGCTGTATGGGTTGAGAGCGAGGGTAGAACACACTACAGCAGTGCACAAGATGGGGATGAGAACACCTCAGAGTTTACTTTTGGACAATTTAGTCCAAAAGTAAAATCTTTGCATTTGAATTCAAAGTTCAGGTGTTCGATTCTATCAACTGTGTAGTGTTCTTTTGTGCTTTGCTTCATTCTGTTCTATTCTTATCTCTCGCTCAATCAATCAAAAATGTTCATTAATATCATCGTCGTTTGTCAGTTTTTCTCTTGCATAGGAATCTTTTGCAGTCTGTGTCAAATCGTAACCATGATCATCACGTCATTTTTTCTCTTGTATAGTAAAAATAGTAGTAAAAACTTAATTACCTGCTTTATTGTATCTCTCTATGGACCAGTAAACCCTCATAGTAAGAAATCTATAGTAAATATCCTTGGAGTTTATATACTCCGAAGTTTTCATGAGAGAGGGATAAAGATAAAAAAATCTGTCTCCGTCAATAAAGGTTGTTGAAAATCCAAAGCACTATCTCTTGGAATGTCCAAAGTACGATCGAGCTCGAGCAATTCTGGCTATTCAGCTGGGTAATCTAGGTCTTAGTTTAGATATTGATACACTCCTACTTAGAACACGTTTATCCAGTGATCTCTTGCTATCTGTGTGTCAGTTTGTGGGTGATTTTATTACTGCCAGTAAGCTTTTCTAACAGACTACGTCCTCTACTTTTTCACTTTTACAGATTTAACTGATCTACTCCCTTGTTTCTAAAACGCCGATATTAGGTGCTTTTCTCCTATTGACACAGTTTCCTTCACCTATTTTTATTGCTCTCACTTTAGCAACTGTTCTTTTCTTCTTTCTCTAAGTCCGACGTTTTTCTTTTCTTTTCGTCCATTTTTATTTTATGATGATGTTCTGTTTAAGGATTCCTCTCAGGAGATACAATGTAGCCCTTAGGACAACGATTTCACCTGTTTGATCTTCTTTTCTTGTTTCTTTTTTTTTTGATTTCTTTAAATAAAAAGCTTAAACGAGACAAAAAAAGAGAATACAACGTATTAATTTAAATTTTAAACTTCAATATTTTCCCTATCCTCAGGGAAACCTGAAATGGACAGTTCTAATGTTAAGGGTTTCCCCCTACCCCCAAAAGACTCCTGTGTTTACTCTTTCTCCCCCCTTTGATTTTTCCTTGAAACCTTTAATACTAAGCAAAATATTGAATAGTTTCAAGGAAAAATCAAAGGGAGGAAAGTTTAAACCGGATTTTTCTTAAAGGCAATGATATGTACTTACAAGGGTTTGGTTTAATAAACTAAGTAATTTTCCAGCGAAACATAATCTAAGTTAGTTATTTTTATTGTCTTGCCTTTTGATTTTGGCATACCGCTTTCTTAAGATACTTGGCCCTCGGGAGGTGGCGATCATATCACCTATTAATCAAACAATGGACATCGGAGAGATTCGGAAATTCTAACGTTCAACAGGATTTCATTTATCCCAACCTAATTCTTTATCGGTTAATTGTGTCCATTTATCTCGAGATACATAACCAAGTGAAGTAAGCAGTTGTCTTTTTTTTGAAATTGAAAAAAAATTAATTTCATGCTTTCAGTCAATTGTTCTCGTACTTTTTGCCGTATATTCACACTTATTCTTGAGTACGTGTCATCGTTAACGAAATTGATCATACGAATACAATAAATCGATCCTGAAAGAAATAGAAATCACACTTACACTTTTTTCGTGACTGTTCCTTACACAAACAGAATAAGATACAGTGCACACTGTTGTATTTTATTATTCAAATAAATGGACAGGAAAATGATTGCGACAAATAAAAGAATTTTGTGTCTTTCATCAAACACTGACACTGAAAATGTTCATTTTTATATAAGCAGTTGAAAAACTGGGCATAATTATAATTCATTTTCTACTTATTAGTATTTCAAAAATTGTGATGTCTGATAGTGGCTCTTGACGGCTGCTCAGCATCGTCGTTTGATGGCCGTGTTTTACGATGAATCACCGCACCTTGACCTAAATATAGAAGGAATTCTGTTTATTTGTTTTGTATATTCATTTTTTTCCAGATAAAATTTAAAATTTGTTATGATTGTAAGCTCCTTGAATATATTTCAGAAAAAATCGAAATATTACCTCCAGTGACTGCTACAGATGTTAATTGGTCAGTGTCACTTCTGTCTCGATGCGTCTGTTTTGATATCCGAGCGATGCTTATTCGAAATACTGGTACAATTAAAATTTTGAAAACAAGAAGTAAAAGTCCGAATAATTCAAGTACGACAATAGTAAAGAGTAGATTATGAAAAATGAGATCATTATATTTCACAATTGGTTCTTGTAAATTGCTTATAAAATATGCAGTATTGGATAAAGTGATATTGATAAGAGTCTTTTGACGTTTATAGAACGTATATTGAGTTTCGGTAATAAATAGTTCATCTGCTTTTGTATCAAATGCATATGACCACATGGCACCGAATATGATTGGATCGGAGGCAATCAGAGGAGTTGTTTGATTAACAATTCGAGTCATTCGAATTAAGAAATTGATCGATGGAGCCAAAACTTGATTGTTTAGGAGTGGTTCGTACAACGAAGCAAAATTGAGTTCGCGAAGCGTCGATCTTATCGATAAAAATTATTAAAAAGTTCTATTTTCCTTACTAGCAATTTCATTCATAGTTTTAACTTACCTTTCATCATCACTGGTATTGCCCGGTCCTGTGAGTCCTAACCGTATAGCACCAACCGTTCGCACCCCAGGTAGTATTAATTGTAGATAGATTTCGTGACTAGGTAATGGAATGACTAGAGAAATAATACTTTCATTTTTAGTCGAGTAGCACGACGTAATAGGAAGAGACATTAATGTATAGGCAAAGAGACGTTGCACTACTATTGAATCGTTGCATGTAAAAGCCGTATTGATAAAATCAATATTAAGTGTAAACGGTTGTCTATCGAGCATATCGAAAATATCATCATTCTCCTTTGTTATTCGTTGAAGTCCCATCATTTGCATGGATGAACTAAATTTGGAATTTCTCATGTCGTTCTGGCAGCCAAACCATGGATTTGAGCCTACTTGTTCAATAGGATATCGATAATAATAGGCATGTGAAAATAAATAGGCAAAAGTAAGAAGAATAATAATCGCTATTGATACAAGACCACCGATCCACAGCTAAAATCAGAAACGACAGAAAATAAGATTGTCTTGTGTGAATAAAATAGAAATTAAGAAACTTACTTCACCTTCACCAATAAGATCTATATGTTTGAAAATAACTTTGACTCGATTTCGGTGCAAATGACTGCGTGGATAAAAGGCCGATATGCCCATGATAATGAGTATAATCACGACAAGTCCAACGACGAATATCACCCACGTAAGTGGTGATACAATGCGACAATGATTCGATTCGTGATTCAATGTAAACATGTTTTGCAAGAGTATATCGCTGAAGATAGTAAGCTCAGGTGACTCGGGATAGTCTTGTTGAGGTACAATGCTCTTGAGATCGGCATAGAAGAGTTGAGCAACGGCTCCAAATGGACAAAACGAACTGACGTTCGAGTCACATGCGGAACAGTTAATAGCACCCCTTGAACTGTATGTTCCATTTGAGCATGGGGTACACAGTTCAATCCCATAATGATTATTGTAAGTGCCACGAATACACGGTGCCTTGACAGAAAATGAGCCCGATGTTGATGTAGTCGGATAGGCACCGAATGGGGCCGAGAGAAGCACAAATGGAGTTCCTAGATTATCTAATAAGGCAACGTGACCCGATGATGAGACGAAATATATAAATGAAGGACTCAATTGAGGTTGTAGTACCTGTTCACTATTTGGATAAATAGTTAACGGCTCAAGTGAATCATTGAAACTATCTACATCGATCTCATACACATGTATTGATGATGAGATCCACTCATAGGCGAAATATGCGTAAGTATTAGCCAAAATAGCAGCCGTTTGTCCTTCGTTATCGAGCCAAGCTACACTCTTACCGTAGCCCATGACAACGCCATTTTGTTTCGAATGAATAGATGATGAATTGTTCAGGAAACCAGTTGGATTAGTTGCATTGTCAAGAATGAGCAATAGGACAGTGTTAAGCGATTGAATCCCGATGAGAATTTGACCAGTACGCGAAGCAATGCTAACCGAAAGACTGTTCTGTGGCACATAATCTCGACTCTGGGCCACCAGGCGATTTCTTCGTGGATCGCCAAATGGAAAGTGAAGTACTCGAGGTATATTAAAAACATCAATGAGTTTAGGTAAATCGACCAATGGTGGATTCAGACTGAATAAAAAGACCATTTCTTCAGCGCTCCAATCGTACGTCTGTACATAGCCAGCAACGAGTGCAAAGGTAGAACTTCCAGACATGATCATATCACAAGCACGAGGTGACAGGCCAAAGGTAGTGAAATTTAGAACAGAGAGTTGAAACGATGAGAGATTGTAATAGAAAATAAAGTCATCAGCAAATCCATAAACTCCACTTCCGTTAGGTTCCATGCACAATATAAAATTATTTTGTGTCGAATAATTTCCCGGCACAACTGCATTGTTTTTCAATTTAAAAATACACGTATTATTATTACTTATATCGGCATAGAGACCTATCATATTGTTACCAAATTGATCGATGCAATTGTAAACAAAATAGGGAACGTCATTAGACGGATGATATTTAGGTACAACTAAACTGTAGATAAAATCACACGACGAATTCCAAACACCGGTTGTCCAACCGTCTGGTGACTCAGACGAGATATTACAAGTGACGGTATTCGGAAACGGAGCGAGTTGAATGTAATACAAACTGTTCAAATTATCCGCAGTGACCAGCAAACGATTGTTCATAGCAATCTTGATTCCGTAAAGATCAAAGTTATCAAGAATCTTTTCATAGAGTAAGACTCGATGAAATTTTGGAATGAGAATAAGAATAATTAACCACATCAGGTTAAGAATCTTCGCTAAAAAATGAGAAATTTAGAACTTAAAAAGCCAAAAACGGCGAGAAAAAGGTGCAAAAAGCCATGTAACCATTTCCATCCAACCTGTTTTCACAGTATCATAACGTGACACTTGTTTTTCTTGGAAACGGCGTTTTGGTAAGGGTTTTATTTTATTTGCTACACTTCAACTTGAATTTACTTACAGCAATTGGAACTGCAATGATTGACATTCGGGAGACGACAAAAACGTTTTTTCTTGTCCCTTCATCGATTTGCGAAACAATGCCTTGCGACATTAATTGATCTGGACGAAAACGCAAATATTCTTGTACAACATAATTTTTTTATCTAAAAGTTTAAAAAACATATTTATTGATATTCATTCCTTTGAACTATTTTATTCGATTATAAAATATGCAAAATGAACTATGAAA